TTATACATATTATATATAGAGACATCTATATATATATATATATATACATATATATATGTATAGGCATATACATAGATATATCGATATATAGATATATAGATATAGATATATAGATATAGATATAGATATAGATATATAGATATAGATATAGATACAGATATAGATACAGATATAGATATAGATACAGATACAGATATAGATATACAGATATAGATATAGATACAGATACATAAATATAGATATACAGATATAAATATGTAGATATAGATACACAGACATAGATATATATACATATATACAGAAATAGATATATACATAGATATAGATATAAAGCCACAGCAAAACAGAGTAAAAGACAAGAGAAAGCAAACAGCAATGAGAATCACAACAAAGAGGCGAACAAACAAACAAAACAAATAAACAAACAAAGCGGCAAAAAGAAAGAAAGAGATGGATAGATAGATAGATAGATATAGAGAAGCAAACAAACAAATAAACAAATAAACAAACAAACAAAAGCAACAAAAGCAACAGGACAACAACACAAAGAGCGAGACAGCAGCGAAAAGAAATAAAGAAATAAAGAAATAAATAAAGACGTCGTAGCCAAACCTCTTATAGACGAGCTTTGTATCATCCTTCCACTCAACAACATTACACTGCCTAGCATTACGTTGTAATACGCGAGAAGCTGCGTCTTTAATAAGCAGATTTCTTTCTTTGCAGCTGCGTGCGGCTGCATGCAAAAAGCTCTTGGGCTCCTTCTCTGCCTCACAATCTCCAAACCATCGACAGAGACGAACTTTACCCTGTCGAGACACCAGAAGGAGGAAGTGAAACATCTTCTTGCAAAGAAAAAAACAAAAAAAAGATAAATATATATGTATATATCGATATAGATATAAATATACACTGTATTAATGTTATCCCTTTAGCTCCAGGCGCTGCAACACTCAACCTACAGCAAATAATATAATACTTCCAAACACCTTCAATAACGAAATGAGAAAGTAAAAATCATCAATAAAAGGAATGCATATAGAAGAAATATATAAAGTAGGTGTTGATGGTTCTACACGCGGCAGACAGACAGCCGCAGCAGCGGCTGTCTGTCTGTTGAATTATCTAATAATTGGAATATAGAGTAATATAAAATAAATAAAATAATATTTTTATTTATTTAAAGGTAAAAGCTGAGCAGAATAAAAGAGAAAAAAAGGAGAAGAAAAATCAAAGCCTGTGCAGCAACGGCGCATGCGACTGCGTGCAGCAGGTGTCTGTACACCTCAACACCGAGGAAAGTCTTCTTCTTTTATTTTAATTTATCAATTTCAATTATATAAATATAACTTTCTTTTCAAAAAAGAATACGAACAAACCCTTACATGTTCGTAGATCAAGGAAGCAGCAGCCAAACGCATGCATGCAGCAGCTCTCAACAGACAGCAGCGGAAACAGCAGCAAAAAAAAGAAGAAAATATTCTTAAAATATATTTTATTGTATAAATTGAATTTATTTATTATTTTAAACATCAAATTATAAAATTTTAGAAAAAAATATTACAAAAATATCTTCAACTCCTCTGTCAGTCAATCTACCGGCCTGAACTTCGCCTCTTCGTCTTCTTATCCTATTGCATAAATTATATATTATATATATAATAAATTAAATATATCTCCGTATATTAAATATAAAATAGTATAATAGCTTACATATATATAATTAATTATTGTAAAATAGATTAGATATACATATATATATATAAACATAAAATATAAAATAGATTAACTATATCTGTATAAATTAAATATCACATAGGTTAAATAAAAGTAAAAAGATAGATAAAATATATTTTCATACATTAAATATAAAATACTGAAACAGATTGACTCAATAATATAAGTATAAAATAACTTAATACTTCGTTTGTATATATATATATATATACATATGTAAAAGTCTAAAAGAAAACACTTTTATTTAGTATTAATGCATATTATTATTATGTGCTTCTTATTTGCTAATATATATATATGTAGATATAGATATAGAGGCATATATATTTACATATATATAAATGCAGTTTAGACAAGGAGGAGAAAAGACTGCTTTTAGCTTTGTCTGCATGCGTTTTATCTGCATGCACTTTACAAACAAAAAAAAAGAATATGCTATTACAGTGGCTACTGGTGTCTGCTGCTGTTGCTGCTGTTGCTACTGCTGTTGCTGCTGCTGCTGTTGTTGCTGTTGCTGCTGTTGCGCCTGCGTATTAGTTGCAGGTCGGAAGAGAAAGGGGAAGCAGCAGAGCCGCCTGCACGAGGCTGCATGCAAGGAGCAGCAGCAGCAGCAGCAGCAGCAGCAGCAGCAGGTGAGGAGCGTTTTTTATCGTTTTTCAATCTTGAGGTGCGTGTACACCCCAACGTGCTGCCGCTGTCATCGAGGTTGCTGAGGTGTATAGACAGCTCTTCTAGCGGCAAAGGAGAATGCATCTGTTGCATATCTTCATCACATCCTATACCTTCCTTTTGCTGCTGCTGTTGCTGCAGGTTCTGCTGCAGCAGCAGAAGCTGCTGCAGCTGCAGCTGCTGCTGCTGTTGCTGCTGCTGTAGCGGCTGCAGCAACAGTTCATCCTCGTCTTCTTCTGCTTCTTCCCCCTCCTCAAGCCCTAATGCATCATTAATAGCAGCAGTTAAAGCAGCATTTGTTGCATGCAGAGGTAGCTGCTGCGGTGTATCGGCATCTATCAACTGTAAACTCGCTTCAGGAAAACATAGAGACGCCTCAGTTGAATGCAGCAACTCTAATACGTCCTGCAGCAGCAGCAGCAACAGCAATAGCAACAGCAGCAGCACCAGCAATAGCAGCAGCACAACAGCAGCAGCAAAAGCAGCAGCAGCAGCAAAAGCAGCAGTAGCTGCAGCAACAGCACGTTTGCTGTGTTTATGTTTGTAATATGAAGTAAATAACTCAAAAGACAACAACACAATCATCGCTTATTATTATATATCACTTTTATATAAAATAATATAATTATAGCATATACTATTATATAATATATATATATATATGATATATATATATATGTATTATATATACATATTATATATATATATACTATGCACTTGCTTGCAGGAACAAACAAACAAACAAACGAACAAACAAACAAAACAAAACAAACAAGACAAACAAAACAAAACAAAAAAAACAAACAAAACAAACAAACAGCCAAGTAAACAAAATAACAAGCAAAACAAACAAAGAACGAAGCAGAAAATAGAAGAAAGAAGGTGAAACAAAACAAAATATATATTTATTTTTGCTTACTGCACGAGAGAGAGAGTAAAGATAGTCTGCAGGCAGAGACATTAAATGCTGTCTTAGCCGGATGCGTCTCTGTCTCTGCACTCTGCAGCAAAACAACAAGACAAACAAAATAAATTTAAAAGAATTAAACAATTTATTATTATTACTTTTTATAATAATAAAAACATAAAAAAGACAAACTGCTGAACGACGCTTCATAGACACCGCAACACACAAAAATAAATTAAATAATTTTATAGAGATTGATTAATATTATTATTGTTATTATAATATTATCATTATCATTATATTATTATATTACTATTACTATCATTATTATTATATTATTATTATATTATTATTATTACTACTATTTAGATACATTCCTATATAAATATAAACATATGCATATATATATATATACATCATAGCATATATAATTATTAATATATTAGTATATGTACAAAGACAAGTGCACTGAGCAGCCATACATTATAATGTATATATATATATATAGATAATATATATATAGATAATATATATATATATAGATAATATATATATAGATAGTATATATATATATATATATATATACATATGCACATCTATACATAGATACATATAAACACCTATGAACCCCAGCATTAATTAATGCATTTAAAAATAAATAAACAACTAACTTAATAGAAGATTGAAAGCAAAGAGCAACGAGGTTTTGATATGCCTCTGCAGGCAAAGCACAAAAAATTTCCTGCAGATCCAACTGAGAGAGAACGACGCCCTAAACACAAAAACAAACAAATAAATAAATAAATTAATTAATTAATTAATTAGTCAATTAATTAATATTAATATATTTATGTATATATGTACGTATGTATTATTGGTTGTATATATTTGCTTGTTTTGTTTATTGTATTTATTAACATATTTGTCTGTATGCATATGTATATATATATATATATATGTATATATATATATATATATATGTTATAATGAATATAAATGCATATATATGTATATAATATATATATATGTGAATGTATATATATATATATATATAT